CTAGAAGGTAGCGGCTCACAGGCTCTGGTTTGCTAAAAAGGGCACACAAGGAAACCAACCTTCTCTGGGCACCTGCCCCATACCAGTCCCCATGCCAGCCTTATAACATCAACATTGTCCTATAAAATAGAATTTTAGAGCACTGTCTTTTCCAAAACCGTGGGTTGCAGCCCATTACTGGGTTATGAAAACAATTTAGTGAGTGACTAATACCATTTTAGAAATAATATGATTAAAAAAACCCAGAAAATTTCAGAGTGTATTGCACGTGGTACAGATGAGCATTGCTTTAGGAAACTTTTATTTCTTTAGTTTATGTGTGTTTGGGAGATGAATGTAAAATATATTTTTTACTGAGAATTATGGTCAAAACTTCTCAAAAGCCAGTGGTTAAGACTGCAGGCTCTGGCCAGGCATGGTGGCTCATGCCTGTAATCCCAGCACTTTGGGAGAACAAGGTGGTGGGATTGCTTGAGTCCAGGTGTTTGAGACTAGCCTGGGTAACATAGCGAGACCCCTACAAATTTATTTTTTTGTTAATTAGCGGCACATGGTGGTGTGTGCCTGTGGTCCCAGCTGCTTGGGAGGCTCTAAGGTGGGAGAATCACTTGAGCCTGAGTGGTTGAGGCTGCAGTGACTCATGATCATGCCATTGCACTCCAGTCTGGACAACAGAGTGAGATATTGTCTCAAAAAATAAAAATACAAAAAGAATGCAGGCTCTGAAATCAGACTGATTGGAGAACGTTGATCAGGTCATGAAACCCCTCTGTGTCACAGTTTCCTCATCTATAGAATGGGGATAATAATAGAACATTTCATAGTATTGTTGCATGAAGTAAATGAGTTAATATTCTAAAGTGCTTAAAGCGGTGTAGCAGACACTGCTAGCGCTCATCAATTTCCCCTCAGCCAACCCCAAAGCCCCAGTAGTTCAGTTCCTTGTATGCACCAATGCCTTCCTGAGTCTTTCTCCTGAGGATTCTCCCTGGTCATGGTTATATGCTTAGCTCAAGCACAGAGCAGGTCAAAGATGGTGGAATGAATGCCCCAGGAATGATCCTCCACCAATGAGGCCTGGAAGATGGTGGATAAACACTACAGTGGAGATTCTGAGGGGCATTTCTCACATTCTCTAAGAGGGTGCCCAGTAGCACTGAGCCTCTATTGCACACCAGAACAACTCCTCCCATCGCACTTCCCTGCTCTCTCACATTGCTTCCTGGGATACCCTCCCATATAAATTTCTTGCACCTAAGTCCTTGTCTTGGTGTTTAATCTTAATTTTGATGAACTTAAGCAGATTCTGACACAAAGTAAACTCTTGAGAGATGTTAGCTATTATTAATCATGTTCATCTTGAGAGGATCTGTGCAAGTGCTTTATATGCTTTATCCTCACACCAAGCCAATAAAGTAGGAACTGTGATTGTCCCCATCTTTCAGATAAGAAAAGTGAGGCTTAGAAAAGTTAAGCACCCTGCTCAAGTTTACATAGCTGGAAAGGAAAGAGTTCCACTCTGAACCCAAGTGTTACAAACGCCCTTGTTCCCCACCTCTCCTCTCTATTTAATCTATATAACCACTCTGCCAGCAAGCTACTGCTGTTACTCCCATTTTACAGATATGGAGATGGAAAGCGTAGGGAAATTATTTGCACTCAATTCCCACACTATTCACTACCATGCTGGGACCGACAACTGGCATTCTGACTCCTGTGCTTTCCATGACAGCAGCATCCTGTTCCCGTGCTTTCCATGACAGCTGCTGCCTGCTCCTAAGTGCCCTGGAAAGAGAAGGAATGGGAGGAATCCCTTCTTAAAAAAAAAAAAAAAAAAAAAAAAAAAAAAATCCCCTTAGTAGAAACTGGCCAGCTACCATCAAACCTTGCTGCACAGGAGAAAGGTAGAATGCAGTTGAAAAGAGACACAATTTTCACAGACTTAATGAAACTTCCAGACAGGTAGAAATCTATTCTAGTGCTTGTACCTCAACTCCTCAACCTGTTAAATGGACGGATGGCCTGGTATGAAGTTCCTCTACTCCTTGCTGGCCTTCACTTTCAGCTCCTTTTCCTTATCTCCAACAGCCCCACCATTCCACCAAGGTACCCTGAGCTGCCGTACCTTTGGTCTGAGCTCCATCTGCATGAAACTCACTGTGATTTTCCCCTGGAAACCTGCGGTGTGCCACACACAGTGCTAACCTCTCACTGTCCCAACTTCCTCATCTATTAAATTGGGATAATCCTAGAGTCCTCTTCATGAGTTGTTGAGAGGATTAAATGAGGTAATTGTGCAAATCCCATAGCTGGCAAAGGACTCATATCTAGCATATATAAAGAATACTCAAAACTCCACATTAAAAAACAAATGAACAATCCAATCAGACGATGGGTAACTGATATGTAGAGACATTTTACTGAAGAGAATATCCAGATGGCAAGCAGTGAAAAGATGCTTAACATTACTAGCTATTAGGGAGATGCAAAGTCAGACCATGATAAGATGTCACCACATACCTTTTAGAACAGATAAAACAGTGACAACACCAAATGCCAGCAAAGATATGGAAACACTGAATCACTCATACATTGCTGGTGGGAATGTAAAATGGTACAGCCACTCTCAGAAACAGTGTGACTCCTTCTTAAAACACTATGCATATACTAACCATATAACTCAACAATGGCCACCCCCACTCAAGCATTTATCCCAGTGAGATGAAGACTTATATTCAAATAAAAATCTACACACAAATATTTATAGCTGCATTATACATCAAAGCCCAAAACTGGAAACAACCCAGATATTCTTTCTGGTTAAACCATGGTCTGTCAGTCATGTATCAGTCATGTCATCATGTATATTGGCATATATCAGCGGTATATTGGTGGCCTATCCAAGGAACATAACCCACCAAGAATAGAGGAATGAACTATTGACAGACAACTTGAATGGATTTCAAAGGCATTACGCTGAGTGGGAAAAAAAAGCCAATCTTAAAAGGTCACATACTTTGTTATTCCACTTAGACAACACTGTTGAAATGACAAAATTTTGCAGATGGAAAACATACTAATAGTTGGTTGCCAGGGGCTGGGAGTGGCAGAAGGGAGAAGGGTGGGTGTCACTTTGAAGGGGCTATGCAAGGGAGGTCTTTGTGGAGATGGGAGAGTTCTGTATCTTGATTGTGGTGGTGACTGTGTAAGATTCTCACAGATTTACACAAGTGAGAAAGGGACACAGAACTATACTCACCCAGTCAATTGCCTGGTTCGGATACTGTACTATAATTATGTAACATGTAACCATTGGAGAAAACCAGGTGAAAGGGACCTCTCAGATATATCTTTACATGGGATCTCTCAGTACTATCTTTGCAACTTACTGCAAATCGATCAGTATTTCAAAATTTTAAGAAATGTTTTAAATGAGCTACTTGTAAAGAGCTTACAGCAGTGCCTAAATGAGCACTTAGTCAACATCAGCTCTTATTACTATTGTTTTGTTTTCATTTTTACTTCATACAAGTCATCTTAGTTAATGCTCATAATAAACTGGTGATAAAATGGTATTTTTTAAAAATCCATATTTTACACATGGGAATAGTGAAACTCAGACATATTAGATCACTTGTCTAAGTTTGCATACCCAGAGAGACCTAGGAATTAAAAAGCCCAAGTTCATGGACTTCCCCCAAACATTCAAGTAGGAAGGCTGGTAAGATAAAAATCTTTGCTTACATCAAGCTTTACAACATAATGGGGGCAATGACAAAAATATAATTCAAATTCAAGTGGAATGTCACATGCTGTGTAAGTTCTACGGGAGGACAGGAAAGGGAGGAATAAAAAATTCTGAGGTGGTCTAGGAAGCCTTCCTAGAGGAGATGGCATTTGGAATTGTTTTGAGGATTGAGTAGGAGCTTAGTAGGTGTGGAAGGAGGCAGCAATGCAGGAAAGGATATTCCAGGTGAGAGAACCTGATCATTAAGCAGTAGAATTAGAGAACAGTGACAAGTCCCAGGTGGCTGAAGCAGCTGGCATGTGACCAGAGGAAGATGTAGATGAAGGAAAAGCAGAGGACAGTCAATGCAGGTAGGCTCTGAATGAGCAACAAATCAATATTGAATCAATCAAAGGGATGAATATGGACATCCCTATGTGGCCTACTTCAAGCTAGATTCAATGATCATCCAAACATATGTGGATGCTGGCCATGCAGATGTTATTCTGAGAGGGAAGATCAATAAGTATGATGGGGTCAGGACTTAACTGTGGATTGGGCTTGTATCCTTAGCTTTTGCTCATTGTGGCCTACATAGCCTGCCTTGGAAGCTGAATGGCCAACGTCCAAAGTGCATGTGTAATTACGACAGCGTACACAACAAGCAGCCAGCCTTCTGTATATACTGGAAAGCCAGGTAGACTTCTGCAGTGGGTCTTGGGGTCCCAGGAAGCAGAGATCTTCCATTTCAGGATCTCAGGATGAAGTTTTTCAGGGTTCTCCCAAGGCTCAGCCCTAGCAGATCCTGAAGGCAAATTCCTACCTTTTGTGGGTTCTAGGGTCCCACAGGGGTTGTTCTGGACTTTGGAATTTTATCTTTCAAGTCCTGATCCCTATCACACTTACACTAATTGATCTCCCCTCACCCCCCACCCCCAGACAATAACATCTGCATGGTCAGGATCTATATCTGTTTGGGTAATCATTGAATCCAGCTTGGAATAGGCCACATAGGGGTGCCATATTCAGTTCCCTTTGACAGACCCAATATTGATTTGTTGCTCATCTGCTTTCCTCAGGTCCTGTGGTAGGGATTAGAGGTGAGGAAATAAGACAGTTCCTAAGCAGAGAAGAGACAACCATGGCACACTGCACACAGGGCAATGACAGCACCTGACTGTCTAGAGACAAAGAATTAAAAAACTATCCTGGACTGTGGCAAATGAAGGCAGTCACATCTGCATAGCTTATCCTAAAAACTGTGAATGTAACATCCCATTCTCAAGGAGAATAGGGACTGTTGATCATGCCATCCAGAGATGGTTAATGGAGCTACACTGAGATATGGCTACGCTTGCATCACAGCTAATGCATCACAATGGTGACAATGAGACCTGCAACATTTCTGCTAAGGTCATGAGTGAAAATGGATGCAACACAACTTCAACATTAGAAAAATATTAAAGAATAACACATTTTTGCTCATTAGCCAAAACAGCAATATGCTTTCTACAATTCAACCTCTAGGGCCCTAAAGTGAATTATTTGACGAAGTAGACCCCAAAGATTCTAGGTAGGAAGTTTTTAAAGTATTTTATCAGTATGTCTGTATTCAAGTGGAGACAAAAGAAGCCAAACCAAGAAAATTATGATAAGGCTGTCTGACAGAATAACAGTGGCTTACATGAATCTCTTTAGAAAGGCCTATCTTGAAGATAAATCTTGACTCAAGCTTTAGAGGGACTAGGGTGACCCTGATGGGCAGTGGAATGAATCACAACATGTAAAGTTTCTTGAATAAAAATGTACTGACTTAAAGGAAAAAAAAAAAACATAATGGTGGTATTTGCTTGTTTGTGGGCTTTTGCAGTCTGATTGTTGCTCGAATACCTTCCTCACATCTCCATATCTGCTTTGATTGCCTTTACCGCACTGTCCCCCAGGGCCCGGCTCAGTTAATGCTTTTGGAAAATGGATTTTGAGCCGTAAAAGACAGCTTTTCCAACTGTAAACTCAAGCTTCTGGAGAATTGGATTAAAAGGAGCAACTGAAAGTGACCTCCGAGATCCTCTGGGACGATTGCTTTCAGTCTGGGTTTCCTGGAGCTTAAAGGTTTTGCAGAGGTGCCTGGGGTACAGGGAGCTGGGAGGCAGCCCTGGTAAGAGGGGTGCTAAAGGGGCAAGGCTCAGGGTCTCCACCTTCCAGCCAGAATTGCTCAGTGTGACCATTTTACCCACTGAAGTTCCAAACATGTTAGGAGAAAGGTTCTAAGGATTAAGATTTAAAAACCACTAAGCTAGTCCAACACCATCATCATATCATAATTTTTAAAATAGTTGATTTTGAGTGTTTAGCGTGTGCCAGGCACCGTTATAAATGCTTTATATGCATTACCTCATCTAATCCTTGCAGCAAGTCTAAAATGTAGGTACTATTATTATCTCAGTTTTACAGAGGAGAAAATGTAGGCACAGTGGTTAAGTAATTTGACCAGTGCATGAAGATCACAAGTGAGGAAGCCCAGCTTGGGACCCACACAGCTGGCTCCTGAGCCTGACAATTTACCACTACACGAGATCGAGGAAGTTGAGGCACAGAAAGAGGCAGAAATTTGCCCCAGGCCCTACAGTGAGCTCAGGGCTGAGCCAAGGCTGGAATCCCACCTCCTGAGCCCTCTCAGGTGCTTCTTCCTCCTGACATCCCCTTCCCTTTCTCCTTCTCTACCCTGCAGTGAGCCTTCTCGAACCAACTCACAGGTGACTTTAAATAGACCATCCCTTGGTTACCAAGCATCTGTGCTCCCACGCTGGGAGCAGCTGAAGGAGATGGGGCTGTGATGGCTGATCGGCTTCTGGTCCCCCGTTCTGAAAGCTGCTGTGGCTCTCTCTTGGCAGGAACCTCACTTCCCACCTGCTGCTCTAGATAAGTAGAGGCCATTCACCATTTGCACCCTGCCTGTCTGTCTGTCTGTCTGTCTGTCTGTCTGTCTGTCCAGGCTCACCTGCACATACTCTTGCTATGGATATGCCTTGTTCCTTTGACCATGCCATTCCCACTGCTGGGAATCCCCTTCTCACTTTGTCAGCCTGGTGTATTCCTACTCAGATGTTCCTTTTCCAGGGCCCTGACCTTCCTGATCTCCCTTGAAAGACAGAATCAACCACAACCTTCCCCGGCAGTCTCCACATCACAGCACAGATCACCCTGTACTGTAATCACTGATTGAATTTATTTCCTTGATTTAAAAAACATGCAGGTGGGCCGGGCGCGGTGGCTCAAGCCTGTAATCCCAGCACTTTGGGAGGCCGAGGCGGGTGGATCACGAGGTCAAGAGATCGAGACCATCCTGGTCAACACGGTGAAACCCCGTCTCTACTAAAAATACAAAAAATTAGCTGGGCATGGTGGCGCGTGCCTGTAATCCCAGCTACTCAGGAGGCTGAGGCAGGAGAATTGCCTGAACCCAGGAGGCGGAGGTTGCGGTGAGCCGAGATTGCGCCATTGCACTCCAGCCTGGGTAACAAGAGTGAAACTCCGTCCCCCCCCCAAAAAAAAAAAAAAACATGCAGGTGGTCCCATTTTTACTTTGGTAAAATCAGGATAGCTCCTACAATCTGCTTCTGGTTAAGCTGGGAGGTTTTTTTTGTTTGTTTGTTGTTGTTTTTTTCCTTCCTAAAATGCTGTCATTAAACAGCTAAGCTGTTTTGAAACCAATATCATCCTAGGATCCAAGAAATACAGGACTTCATCTCCCTCTAGACTGTGAGTTCACCTGGGTTAGGGGCCATGATTCAATGTCTGTGGACCACCAGCAGCCAGCACAATGGAGGCACAGAGGAAGCACCAGATATGGTGAGTCATGGTGCTCAGGGGCTGGACAGCATCCTCTGTGCCCAGATCTCCATGGGAGGCATCCCAGAGGCCTAGGAGAGCCCCTGCCATCTACCTATTGCCCATTGAGTTCATGCAACTACCTCATGGTACATGGAAATAAACAATGGGCAAGGACAGCAGGTTCCTTTCCCCTGCTCTAACCTGGCACAAATGAGGTTGATGAAGCCCAGCAGGAAGCATGTCAGTCTCAGATTCCAAATCACATCACACCCCATGCTCTCACTCCTTTCTTTTTTCTCAGAGGTAGTTGTAATAGTTGCTTAGTTCCTAGCAGTTAGCTCTCTTAAATTCTCTATTTCTAAAATAATTTTCCAGCACACCTTCCACCATTTTCTAACCGTTTTCATTCTGCCTCCAGTGACCTCCTAGGCCCTCCAACCTATGTCTCTAATGGTAGTTGTGTACCACTTCTTGTTTTTGAATGCCTGCCCTATATATATTAGGATCCAGCAAGTTACACAGGACTTTGCTTATTTTTTTCCTTTTCTCTGCCAATGGCAGACATTACTAATCAATCACAGCATGCTTGCCTTCAGAATTCAACTCCAGGAAGCCACTGCCAAGTGGGCTGGCTCATGAGCTGGGTCATTTTTGCAGTTGTGGGCCTAGATGCCCTCTAAGGGAACTGCTAATCAGAGATCCTTGGGTACAACACCCATACACAAGATTGCTTTGGATACTCCCAAATGTATATAATTTTAAATTTCTCTTCAATGAAAGCAATTTATAAAATGGATGAGTAACTAATTCTGGATTTTGTGGGGGCAAGAGGAGGAACATTTGACTAACCACTGGACTCTGGGCCCAACAGATGAATCTTTGAAGTGGCCCAAAATAATTGACCAGGAATTTGGCCTTTCTGTTAGGTGACCCAAGTCAGGGAAGAAGGGAAGAGAACTGGTAGTTTATTCATTCATTCTCTTCACAAACATTTACCGAGCACCTATTACATGCTAGACACTGATCTAAGGGTAGGAGATTTACAGACAAAGATAATGACAGTCCTCATGGTTGACCAGGTACCAGACCCATTGGCACTCTATTTACATATCACATTTAATTTTTTATGGCCTCAATTTTGGCACATTTCCCTTACTGGAGCTAACTGAACTCCATAATCTATGCCCTCTCTTTCTTAGTACAGTGGAACCTTAAGACGGAATGAGCCTGGATTCCTGAATCATGGGATGGAGTAGAGCTATTCACTGACCAGAAATGTTAGCCTTGGACTAAAATGTGAATGAGAACTAAATTTCTATTGTGTTTGCACCTTTATACATTGCAGTACCTTTTTGTTATAGAAGCTTGTGTTATCCTAATTAACACATTTTCTGTGTGCAGTCAGTCTCATTGTGACTTTGATTTGGAAGTGTCTTTGTAGCTCCATTACTTACTTTCAGAAGAGTTCTTGGAATTTGGTACCCAAAGGAAATGCTCATCAGGCAGGAATCCACCCTTCCTTGAAGTCAGATGCTTTCAACCCAGACCATAAGAGTTTTCTATGAGGATTAAAAAACCCTGATAAAATGAACTTTCAATGTTTTAGAGAAAAATGTAATGCCTCACAGAGAAATTCCCAAGCACCATAATCTTTTCCTGGGAAATCAATCTTGGTACAGGACAGTCTTTTAGGCAGCCAGAAGCCCTTCGTCTGGGCTTCAATGACGACTGGCTGTGGCTCTCCAACGGTGCATGCACAGTAACAACCACCTGGCAAAGATAAATTAGCAAGTCATGGAAGCCCCACTCCCAAGTTGGGTCAACAACATGAGTCAGAGTGCCACAGAGATAAATATATCCCATTCATAGAGCTTTTGGTTTAACAGCTTTCAAAGTCATAAAGTCTGTATAAGGCCAGAAGACATATAATTGTCCAATTAGAGGTCTTACCTAGGAAACCACACACACACACACACACACACACACACACACACACACACACACACACACATCTTATTTCACTCTAGGTTCTGGGGTACATGAGCAGAATATACAGGATTGTTACATAGGTAATACATGGCAATGTGGTTTGCTGCCTCCATCCCCCTGTCACCTATATCTGGCATTTCTCCCCATGTTATCCCTCCCCAAGCTCCTGACCCCCTGCTGTTCCTCTCCTAGTCCCCCCTCAACGGACCCCAGTGTGTGATGCTCCCCTCCCTGTGTCCACGTGTTCTCATTGTTCAACATCCGCCTATGATTGAGAACATGCGGTGTTTTATTTTCTGTTCTTGTGTCAGTTTGCTGAAAATGATGATTTCCAAATTCATCCATGTCCCTACAAAGGACACAAACTCATCGTTTTTTATGGCTGCATAGTATTCCATGGTGTATATGTGCCACATTTTCCCTGTCCACTCTATCATTGATGAGCATTTGGGTTGGTTCCAGGTCTTTGCTATTGTAAAGAGTTCATATGTGTTTACAAGCACCCGATAAATGTTAGTTGTTATTCCCCTCCTACATGACTTCAATGTTTCTAAAACACCACAATGAACATATGTGTACATG